CTATCTTCAATCCCTGTTGCTACGTGTGTGTTCCTTGTGTTCCAGTAGATGAATGGAAAGCGGAGGGAGACCTTATAGACTTGTGGACAGACCTGCCCCCTCTCCTCCCTCCTTTGACAGAGCCCTCTGTCACTCCTGTTTCCAAGTCCAGCCCACGGAGGGCTCCTGTTCCCAAGTCAAGCCCTGAGAGAGACTCTGTTCCCAAGCTAAGCCCAGAGAGGGCTCCTGTTCCCAAGTCCAGCCCAGAGAGCCCAGTGGCTCACAAATGCCTGCCCTCCCGCCTGCTCCTGCCTCCTCCCCTGCTGTCGTCTGGCAGCCCCTCTGCTCGCCCTCAGCCCACCATCAGTGTGATGCGAGCTCCGCGGGTCTGCCATCCTCCATTGTCACCATGGCTGGAGAATCCCTGGCCTCCGCCTCCAGCCTCTGCCTCGGCCCGTCGACCCAGCGGCTCCACCATGGCTCCTAGATCCCTCCTCTCCGCCATGGCCCGGCAGTCCACTGGCTCCGCTGGGCTCCCTCGTCCCTCCTGCTCCGCCTTGGTCTGTCGTCGACCATCCATCGCCTCGGGACTCCACTCCTCCGGCTGCGCCTCGTCCCTCCGGCTCTGTCTGGCTCCTCCTTCCCTTCGGCTCCTCCTCAGTCCTCTGTCACTCCAGCTCCACCGTGGCCTTCCGGATCCCCGCCTCGGTCGCTTGAGCCATCTGCTCCGCCTTGGCCCTCCGGATCCTCCCTGTCGCCCTGGCTCATCGGCTCTCCGTCTCCGCCTCGGGCTCCTCCACCACCTGCTCCGCCGCCGTTGGTCGGCCCCCTGGAGTCGTCAGCCCTTCCTCCTCTGTCGGCTCCACCGTGGGTCGCCATTATGGCTGTGGCCTGGGTCCCACCTGGCGCCGCATGCTCCAAGTCCCTCCTGTTTCCTCCTTGGCTCCTCCCTCCATCTGATCCGCCCTGGACTCTGTCTGCCGGCCCCCTCCCGGGTGTCCGTCTTCCTCCTGAGCCTCCTCCCAAGTTCCCACCCATCCCTCCTTCTGTTGTTTCTTCGTCGCGAGGACGCGCCTTCCGGGAGTGGGGCGATATGTCAGGAAGATGGACTGTCTGTGTTGTTTTGCTCACCATGACATAGTTTTCCCTCATGTGTTACATGGCCCATATTTGGTTTCCCTCCTGTTCCTGTTCCTATTGTGTTTCATTGAGTCCAGGTGTGTCTCGTCATCCCCTCGTTTAGTTAAGCCGGGCTCACACTGTGCGATTTTTAAAAAAAAAAGTCCTTTAGCATTGTACTTGTCAGACTGTACGAACATGATGATCATGTCACACTGTAGGATCTCAGTTGTCATTAATGTCAGACTGTACGACAGTCAAGAAGAGTTAAAAACGGGTGCGCGCAAGAAAACTTGTCCGGAGTTTTACCTTATCAACCCACACACGTTCAGTGACTGCGAGCTGCATTGCACGCGGGGCTGTATTGTTGGCTATCATTAAAAGTATATGAATGGCGGCAATACCGGCGTATTTAAGAAGA